TAACAGTGCCTAGAAAAAAAATTTGCACAATAAAACACAACGCATCAAAAATCAGCTAAAAGAATCAATGTCCTGCAAATATGCTGAGTGTAATTAATAAATAAGTAGTTAATAAATACTTTGGGGAACTTCATGTTTCAATACATTGCTGTCATACACCTTGCTTTCATTTTGCAAGTTGTATGACACCTTGTTTGTGTCATTTCGCTTTATGCACAGTTTACAATATACTATAGACCACTGGTTTTATGCTCCTTTTTCTGGGATACAAGGATTCTCTGCTATACAGGACATAATCATAGTGCAGATTTGGACACCACTGTAAAATGGTGAACTCATCATATACTGGTAGTTTATCACACAGCTTCTTTTCACTTCCAAGAGTTTATACACACATGACACACAGTGGCACCAAGATGGCGCCGAGTATGGCAGCCTCATCACAAGCTCCCCCAAGCAACAGCTGGTTTTAGTGTTTAATTTTCCTTTTCCTTTATTTTTTCTCCCATTCTTATATTTTGCTTGTTCTTATGTTATTGTATTGTATTTTGCTCACCCCTGTTGCTTGTGAAGCTTGGACACAAGAATTTCACTCGCATGTGCTGTACCAGTGTACCTGCACATGTGATGTGACAATAAAAGTATTATTTATTTAACAAAAACTAAGTACAGTGTAAGTTTTAGATTTCTCCTAGCAACCCAAACAACTCAAACTTATTTTTTCTTTTGTTTTTGTACTTGTCATGAACATTAACATTTAGCATGCTGAGACCTGCAGATTCTGAGATGTAGCTCTTGGGTTTCTCTGAGCATTGCACAGTGTTAGCTTGGGGTGAGGCTCCTGGGAAGTTTGGCACCTGTCTTGACGGTTTTTCACAAGTAATTAATCTTTTGTGTGAACTGACAGAGTTCAGATTGTTTGGAAATGGCCATATAAGCCGTCTCAGATTGATGGGCAACAGCAAGTCTTCTCTGAGATCAGTGCTGATGTCTTTTCTCTTTGGCATTCTGTTAACACACATCTGAATGAACTGCCAAATCCTCTTTTTTTTCATCTCTACACCAAAAAATATAGAGGCGGTCACACATATAATCAAATAGTTGTGTGCATTTGATTATGAGTACCTGGCTGCTACTTATCCCCTTAGTTCTTATGTAAGCAGTAAGAGTTTACTCAGTTTTTCACACACAAGCTTACTCCTATCCAGATTATGAAACGTCTGTAATATAAAAAATGTTTGTCATATAGAGATATTGGGAAATGTTATCTGAGAATGTTTGTTTTTTATAATTGTTCAGGTGCGTGTTCTGTGGTTGAAGAGGTGATGCTTCAGGAGGCTTTTGATCTTCCCTCCACTCAGATCCTGTCTCTGTATGCTCTGGGCAGTTACCTAGCAACCAGACCACAACTTGCTGTGAGTGAATCAGCAGCTCTGAAGGTGTTTAGGACAACTAATGACTCTAGAATATTCTTATGACTGAAAATTGCAAAATCAATTTCCGGTGATTCAAAACGGGGCATCTTAGGGGGTTTCATTCTAAACATTTATACATTTTTGTAAAAAGAGATAATAGCATGTTGCAGTAGAAGTAATAAAACACTTGTTCTTTGCTGCGATCAGGTGTCAGAAGAACGGGCTCTAGGGGCATCACTGCTTTTCTGTGGACAGAAGCAAGACAACACCATTGGCCTCAGTGCTCAGCTGCTTGGCAATGCTTTCCTCGGTAAGTGCTTGAGTTTCTTTTCTTGCATTTTTTTAAGTTATTTTTTTTGCTGTGATTGATAGTTTTGTTTTTTCTCCTGTAGCCTTTCATTATGCCACTTGTCTCATTTGTTTTCCTCCTTCTTCATCATCCAGGCAAGGTAGAAAATTTAAAGGGCATACATGCCGTCTTCAAAGGGATGCCTCTCTTCTGGGGTCGAGGATATCTGGGCCGAGC